GGTTTGTGCTGTTAAAATGAACATCAAATATATTTCCCCTTCATAGAAATAACAAAAACAATTCTGGGCAGTGACGTCACTCTCACCGTTTCAACTTAATGCTGCTTTGAAATTTAAGCTTAGTCAACTTGAAATATGAAGTTAGTGAAAACTTGGAGCTGACTATAAACTTAAAATTTTAAGGCAGAACAAACACTATTTTTTTAAACTCTGCGGCCGCGCTAAACGGGGTGGAGAGTAAAGTTCCCGTTATATTTAAGAAGAGGTCATGGTTACATTGTTTCTTTGAACGGCACAAACCAGCACAAATCGAGCACAAATGAACGGCACCGTTTTGGAGGGATTTGGACAGCATGGGGTGGAGAGTGACGTCACTGGCCCGTTTTGTATTTGTTATTTCTGAGGACGGGAAATAGATACAATGTAAATTTGAACGGCACAAACCAGCACAAATCAAGCACAAACGAATGGCACCATTTTGGAACGATTTAGATTGCATGGGGTGGAGAGTGATGAATAATTTTGGTTATATCTAAGGAAGGAAAATAGATGTAGTGTTTGTTTTAACGGCACAAACGGGCACAAGTCGAGCACAAACGAACTGCGCTGGTTTGGAGCGATTTTGGCAACATGGGGTGGAGAGTGACGTCACACGGTCAAAAAAATAATGTTTAATATCTCAAACACCAAACCAGCACAAATGTTCGTTTTCGCGGCACAAATCAGCACAAACGTAGCACAAACGAATGGCATAGTTTTGGTGATTATTTCTTTTTATGGGGTGCCAACTTCACGGAGGTCTATTATAGTCCACAAATTACTTCTCTACATCATGATTTATTTGCTGCATCTTTAAGTTAATTAGATGTTGTTAACTCATCAACTTTATCTAACAATTTTACAGAAAACTAAGAATTTAACGGCACAAACCAGCACAAATCGAGCACAAACGAACGCCACCAGTTTTGGAGAGATTTGAAAGGCATGGGGTGGAGAGTGACGTCACTGTCCAGGATTGTTTTTGTTATTTCTATGAAGGGGAAATATATTTGATGTTCATTTTAACGGCACAATCCGGCACAAATCGAGCACAAACGAACTGCGTTGGTTTGGGGCGATTTTGGCAACATGGGGCGGAGAGTGACGTCACAGCTCCCGAAAATATTTTGGTTATATCTAAGGAAGGAAAATAGATGCAGTGTTTGTTTTAACGGCACAAATCGAGCACAAACGAACTGCGTTGGTTTGGGGCGATTTTGGCAACATGGGGCGGAGAGTGACGTCACACGGTCAAAAAAATAATGTTTAATATCTCAAACACCAAACCAGCACAAATGTTCGTTTTTGCGGCACAAATCAGCACAAACGTAGCACAAACGAATGGCATAGTTTTGATGATTATTTCTTTTCACGGAGGTTGTTAAATTTATTTGCAGGTGGACGTGCTTCACCTAAAGTTTGTACTTTAGGTGAATTCAGTAAAGTTTGTACTTTGACCAGCAGGGGGAGCCACTGCACTACAAAAACATTCACTTGCTCAAAGAAACTTCCTCAGCTTTATGAAAATTGCTCATCGGGCTGCTTTTTAAAAACTCATTCACACCTAAACCACCTTTTTTCACCAGAACTTTAACATTAAGGTTCAAAACATCCTTCATACAAACTGTATTTGTAATCTGTGTTTGTAGGTTTGAAGTTATTTGCACTGTGAGCAGTGCTGTGAAAGTGTGTAAAGCGCTGTGTAAACGTATGATCTGTTAGATAAGTTAAAAAGATGTGGAATGCTTTTAACATAAAGAATTTGTGTCTTTTCATCGTTTGCTTGCAGATGGAGGCAAGAAAGTGGACACTGGCCAAATATAACGAATAGCTTTTCAGTGAGTACACTAGACTTATTATTCTCTCCTTTATGCAAGATGTAGTCCAAACCTGGGAAGGCTACACAATTTCTAGAACAAAGTCGGAGCGTATTCACAGTGCAGTATTGGCTTGGACAGCTGTCTAGCGGTTAGAAACAGGAAAGTCATTGTACTAGCTTGCAAATATTTAATTTTCAGGACAGATCTGTAACAGATGTTGTGCATTTCTTGACTATTTACATTCACACGTCATATTTCACTGCACTTCAGACTGAATTCAGATCATTTCAGATTGTTTCCAAGTAATGGAAAAGAGTCGTACAATAAATAGTTGTACTAACATTTCAAAAGTGTACAGTAAATACACAGAGCAACCGTTGGGTTCCCATCAGTAACATGAAACTTTGCTGTTCCTCTTGGGGGTTGTGGAGGGTTAGACATTTGGAAAATTAAGGGGTCTGCAGCACTAGACATGGTAAAGCTGTGCTGATTTGTACGGGGAACACACACACATATGACCCACTGAGCAGTGGTGCAAGACAAGGCACGAAGATATGTTTGTATGTGTCACACCCTGTAATGTAATGTGTAAAGGTATCATTTCCTGGAACTGTGAATACCTCTTACTTTACTTTCCAGTGGAATGCCCCTCAGAGTCTAGTCAACAGCTACTGTACACATCAGCATTCCCTGTGCATACTTTTTTCCTGCTTATAACGGCTGCACAATTTGGTCAAAATGCCATTTTTTGTTAATTTTGTCATGCAGAACATTTTTTCTTGTCGAGCAGTTTGAATGATGATATGATAAACATCATGATAACATATTGCTGCTTCTAAAATATCCAGGGAAAAAATGAACAAAAAGACTGTCAGGACATTAAAGTGAACTCAGAGAACATTTTTTTATTACACTTAAGTTGTGATATGGTCTCAGTCCATATTGACACTGTTTTTGGAACTCAATCAGTGTGAATATAATAATAATAATAATACCATTCAAAGGTTTGAGGTTGATACGATTTTTTAAATATATTTTAAATATATATTTTATATCACAAAAGCTGCATTTATTTACTCAAAATACAGTAAAAACAGTAATATTGTAAATATCACTGCTTTCTGTTTTAATATATTTTAAAATGTAATTTATTCCTGTGATGGCAAGCTGAATCTTCAATGTCACATGATCATAAAAGCATTGTAATAAACTGATTTGGTGCAAAAGAAACACTTCTTATTATTATCAATGTAAAAAAAAAATAAAGAAAGAAAATAAAGAAAGAAAGAATGAAAAAATAATCTCACTGATCCCAAACTTTTGAATGGTAGTGTTTTTTTGTGTGTGTGTGTGTGTATTATTTTTATTCATTTTTATTTCAGTTTTAGACGTTTAGGAAACGTGACGCGAATTTGTGAAGGTTTATTTCATTTCACTGCATCTCATATGTTTTTAAATGCAATCTGTCATCGGACCTTTTCAAACCAGCCAATGGACTGTTTGATCAACGAGCGCATCCATCGTCTGTCATTACCGCCTATATGTTCCAAAGCCATCAGATGAATCAAGTTCACATCAATGATCATTATTCGTGCAAAAGTATTTTCTCAGAACATGAGTTTTGCTATTTAGATTCCGCAAGATGCACGCAGTTCTGTTTATTAACCGCTAGAGCGACAAAAATTACGGACTGCAGCTTTAATATAATCAATTAAATCCCATTGAACCATTTTATGTTCATCCCTACTACTTTTTTTAAGATTTGTTTTTTTGGCATTTTTGCTTTTATTGTGACACTATTTAGACAGGAAGCAAAGTGGGAGAGGGAGGAGGGGGGGGATTCAGGAAAGGTCTGCGAGCCGGGACTCGAACTCGAGACGCCCAAAGTGCAACGGAGCTATATGTCGGCACGCTGCCCACAAGGCTATTGACACAGACAATCCCTACTACGTTTCGAAGAAAAATCGCACTCTTTGTTTTTTGGATACTTAAACCACTATGAGTCAAGACACGAATAGACTTTTTGTAATGCACTGACCCTTGTCAAGTGACTAGATTGTCAAATAGTTTTGAAGTGGCAGTCTAATAGAATAATAAACTGCAGCATTGTCTGTTGACCTCCACATAATCAGCACAGAGTCGCGAACAGCTCTTACACAAACACCTAATGACATCCACTTGCTTACTAATGCAGACACAAACACATACTATGTCATTCTGTCAAGTGTGTTTTGATGAGGCTGCGTACGAGGAACAGAATAGCTGTGACGGCTGACTTCTGACCCCCGGGTCCACGCTGCCAGCAGTGACATCTGGTAGTCATTACAGCAGGCATGCGTGGAAGTGCGGCTCAGACCAGGCCAGAGATGAGGAGGGCCTCTTTTTTTCCCCTCTTGCATGCTCTCTGTCTCGCTCTCCCTGGGAACACCAGAGGGTCAGAGTCCACAAGCCAGGAATGTAAGCTTACGTCATGCAGACTGTGTTTTTCCCAGGATCGGATCGGTATTAGGCGCTATGGGGGAGCAGGCTTCACAATGGCTAGGTGATGTCAAGGATGACAAATTAATGTTTATATAAACATAAACGGAGAATGTCTGAGGCCACATCAGCACAGGAGTAAGGGCATAGCTCTTTTTATGCTGAATTGAAACTAATCTGATCTGGAAGCAGAAATTCTTTGCAGCAATTATTGGAATATAACAGCATTGTTAAATGGAATCTAACAGTTTGTTGAAGACTATACACAAATGCACAAAGGTCTATTATAGATTAGTCCACAAATGTCCACAGCAACTTGTCAGTGTACACTCTAACAATAAATAACTATGCCACCTTTATAACATCTGAATATGAAAATCACTTTGTGATTGAGGTAGACATATATATTCACATAGACATATAAATTCCTATATTCACTATATATAGACATAAATTCCTAAAAATACAAGTTAATTTAGTCAAAAACTGACATCTGTTATTCACTAAAAGACACTGATATTTGACTAACAAATTATATTTTAAATATGAATATTTTTGTTACATTTCAATAACAATATTTGATAATGGAAACATTATACTGATCAGTTTCAAGAACTATAATAATTACTAATGTCATATCAATATTTTTCATCTTTAAGGAATTTAGTAAACTGGACCAATTAACAACGGCATAATCTTGCAAATATTTTCCAAACACGCTTTGATACGGACAAGCAAATGTTGTAAAATGTTGAATTTAAGTGTTATTTTGTGTGTTTTTGCATACAATTAATATAGAAGGAGTTCCATTAGTGTTTAATGTTCAGTTATTTGGAATTTATAGGGGTTTCTGTTGAAGTAATGTTTACTTACATTTAATAAGTTCATAAGGATATTTCATTGAATTCACTTCTTTAAATTGAAGTCAATAGAAAGAAAGAAAGAAAGAAAGAAAGAAAATGAGTACATCATAGTTTTTAGAGTGCAGTTTGGCACATATTTGAATGAATGGATTTCTTTTACAGGTACCGGCTGTGGACTTGATGCTGTTTCATGTGTCCTCATATGTAATGTTGCACAGTGTACATGTTGTGGTATACTTCGGTACATGTAATTCAGAAACTTATAAGAGAAGACATTTGCTAATACTTTTAGATTATGTTTCATAATGCTATATATAAAAACATATTTATAAAAAAAAATTAAACACTGCAGTGTAAAGACTATCGCCGTTTGGATGAAAATGGACAAACAAAAATAAGCAGATAGATTTTTCTGTCTGTTGCACAGCTCTTCTGGAAGCTGATGTGGTCTTCTGTGTACTTTTGATATTGATATTTTCACCATTTGTTTATGGAGTACAACAAAATAATAAACAATGTTGTATCTTTATTATGTGATAATCATTCTTGTCTTTATCTAAATGCAATGACTGCCACAGAACTTCAAAAATAAGAAGCATTTCATCATTCCATTTAAATGATAAAAACATGAACATTTTAACCTATGTAAATATTATTGCATAAGTTGTATTCTTTTTTTATTTGCAGCATTGCAAGTTTGTGTTTACAATTTATAATGAAACGTAATAATTCTTAAGAAAGCACCAACACATTTCCTGCTATGTACTGTTTTTTATATTAAAAGAGGGACTATTGTTATCATTGCTCTTGTGTGAGCACGTTTGTTGTTTTCTTTGCATATACACTATCAAAGGAAAGATTTTTTGAAAGATGTATCTTATGCTCATCAAAACTGCATCAAAAATACAGTAAACAGTAATGTAGTGAAATATTACTACAGTTTGAAATAAATGTTTTCCATTTTAAAATGCAATTTACTCCCTAAAGCTGAATTTTCAGGAGCCATTACAGTGTCATGTGATCCTTTAGAAATCATTCTGATTTGGTGACCAAGTAACAATTCTTGAAAGCAGTTGTGGTGCTTAATATTTTTGTGCAAACTGTGATACATTTTTCAGGATTCTTTTATGAATAGAAAGAGCAGCATTTATTTGAAATATATGTATATTTTTGCAATTATGTAAAAATATTGACTGTCACTTTTGATCAATTTAATGATAAAAGTACCCCCCCCCCCCCAAAAAAAAATAAATTAAATAAATAAATAAAAATAAAATAATAAGTAGTGTACATGCAAGGAAGCAAGGCAGTATATGTCATACCTTGCACCCTGCCATTTTACCCATAATACTTCATCTAAATAAGAATAAATAGGCTGATAATTTGACTACAGATACACTTAACACCTTATACACCCAACCACACTATAATCTTACCTAATTACCTAACATGACATGACCATGCTAGTTAGGACTATTTATTGAAAGTGATGAGCTATGAACTTCCTGTGGGACTATCTACGGTATATATTTCATGTTGCACCCATGACTGTGTAATTCATGAGCATTCTTTTGGCTTCCACCTGAGTTCAAGTTTCTACTAAGTGCATTTTCTAATGCCAAAGGTCTGGAATACGATGGGAATGTGAAAGAACATTGTTTACCTTTGAGCGGGGCTTGGAACAAAACACAGCTTTAGGCAAGAGCAGCCGCTGTCATGTGCTGCAGCAGAACCGTTGCAGTTCAGTGTAACAGTGGTGGAAAACAACGCCAGATGGAACTCATTCGATTTTTTCTCCTCCAAGTCTTGTCTGGTCTGTTTGGTTTTAAAACCCTGTTGATCAGATAATATGTGCAGATACATTTGGGTTTTGAATGAGTTGTTAGTACTCACACATTAAGGATTTCATATTACGTATTGCTTTATTATCTGTCTAGAACAGTTTATCTTATATTTAGTTTGCTTTCAAATTGTAGGGTTTTGTAAGCTTGTGAGCATTCTGTTTAGTACAATATCAGTATGTGTACTATCTGTTATCGGCTCAAGTGCAGAAAAGACCTGCGGGATCTCCATTGTTTGAAATGGAGAAAAAGCTGAGGGTAAAACATCATCCAGATAGTTCCTCTTTGGAAGATCGGGATCGTATGTGGCCCTCAGAATCCCCAAATGAAGTGTTGTTTTTGCACATAAAGCTAAGAACATCATCACCAACGGAGCTGCAAGAGGTTTCTTCTGTGGCTCCTGCGGTGTCGAGCACTTGTGCCCCTGACCTCAGTTCTACTGGGGGAAATGAAAAACAAGTGCAACTTTTTTTTTTTTTTGGGGAAGTTGTGGCCTAATGGTTAGAGAGTCGGACTCATAACCCAAAGGTTGTGGGTTCGAGTCTCGTACCGGCAGGGATTGTAGGTGGGGGGGAGTGAATGTACAGCGCTCTCTCCCACCTTCAATACCACGACTGAGGTGCCCTTGAGCAAGGCACTGAACCCCCAACTGCTCCCCGGGCGCCGCAGCATAAATGGCTGCCCACTGCTCCGGGTGTGTGTTCACGGTGTGTGTGTGTGTTCACTGCTGTGTGTGTGCACTTAGGATGGGTTAAATGCAGAGCACTAATTCCAAGTATGGGTCACCATACTTGGCCACATGTCACGTCACTCACTTTTTCACACTTACTACATGAATAACTTATTACATCAAAATTATATATAAATGAATAATAAAAAAATATTTTATACTACTACTACTACTACTACTAATATAAATATGTTATTCACAAAAAAGGATTATGTTAAAATAGAAAAAAAAATAAAATAAATAAAGTTACAAGTAAAGGGTAAAAATTACAATACAATACAATAAAGTAAATTAAATAATGTGAAGTAGAGTAAGTACAGTAAAGTAAAATGAAGCGTTTACGCATCTGTTCCATGCTTCTCAGAATCACGTTGTTTGGCACTTTAGTTTCTGATAGATTAACAGTGAACACTGAAGCAACAAAGTAAAAAGAAGAGAAACATTAAATCTTGACTCCCATGTTAAGTCTGGTCATTACAGTGATGACAGCAACCTTTGTTGAACACACCAAACTCAATTAAAAACCAAGAAATATATTTATAATTAAATAAAACATGAACTAATAAAACCTAAAACGGGGCAATTACACGGGGAATCTCAAATGATACTTTTTGGCCCTTTACAGTCCGCAGACATGGCAACGTAATTACGTCGTATTTAAGCGACACTGAACGCGAGCGATGGTGACGTTCCTGGACGACACACGCCATCATCCGTGGACAGGGAGTCGTACAGGAATCAGTGGGATAAAGGCGATCGCGCTTAACGGAGAAGCATCGGAGTCGTGCGCCGTATCCCGGGCGTTCTTTAAATCGGTCACATATTATTTCAGGGAGATTTTAGTTTTTGCAGAAGATAAATAAATAATAAAGCTCTCCCTGGTGCGTGGGTTGGAAAGGTTGGCGTAACGCTCCTACTTTATTCCATCGGATGAAAATGTTTGGTTTGTGCTTGTAAAACTTCAACTCGTTTTCAAAGGATCGTTTCATCTTTCTTTCGGGCAAACCGCAGAGGAGAAGAGGAGAGACCGGTGACCGTAATTGGACTCTGGATAGGATACCTGGGGGAGCTAACTGTCCCTGTGCACACAGGCGCCTAATTTTCCTTCGCCTTTCCATCAGTTTCCAGGGTAAATACATGCATTTGTCTAATAAAGCGTCTTGCAAATGTAAACTTGACCATGCTAGGGTGATTTTGTAGGAGTAACGGGCCATGTGATCAGCTTCACCACACAACCTCATGCAGGTAATGCACATATGAAGCTGATTAAATGGCCTCTCTCGTGTGTATAATATTCAATATATGTAACGTACAGCTGCTTATGGTATGCTTATATTTAATATGCCAGTCTGATGTGTAGGTTGCATGTCATTTAAAACTGCAGTGTTTCATTGATAAGAGAAATCACTCGCATGCACTATTCTGAAACTGTTGTTGTTGTAGTTAAACTACATTAACCCAATTCCAAGATATAGGACACAACAAATACGCAGTGTTTGCTAGAGTTTTGTAGCTGCGTAAAACAAATCGAATACAAAAAGCTTGATCATCTGGGTTTTTTTCACTTTCGTTGTATTGATATTTTGCTCATACTGATTTGAGTTAAACTTCAGATATAGTTAACAAAACCAATTTCTCTTGTATAAAATAGTAAGTTTACAGTAGATTAAAACGCTGTGGTTGCCCTCTAAATACACTGGATGTTTTACTACACCGGTGTGTTTACATATATTCGCGATTGGTTGGTGTTTTAGATTAATAACGATTACTAAACCCTCACCACCCATCATTATTATGAGTATTCCTTGTGTTTTCGCTTGTTTTGCTGTAGTTTAGCCGGTTAGCGACAGGAGGTTTAGCTTAGGCTAACACTATTAGCACACCCAGAGCTGGACAATCGAAAGGCGAACTCGTTTATGAATATGTTTATCCGACTGTCCACTATACTGTCGTTTATTTTATAAAGTGCGGTGTTGTGTGCCCGTGCAGCAGGATAACATCTGATAGCGCTTAGCCTAGCGCGTTAGCTTAGCTCGCTAACAATCGACGTTCAGCCTTTGAACCACCACCGCCGCCTCCCGTAAGGGCTTTAAATCCATGTGAAGCGCCCGCTAATATCTGCAGACTTTTCACTCTTTAATGGGACTTTTCGGGAAATATTAGCCGGGCTGGCACGTTGTGAGGGAGAAATGATTAATCTGTAGAGATTTATGCGCAGCGCGTGCACGGCTCGAGAGACAAGCACATGTTAGCACTGACTACAGCCGATGGAAGTTTGTCAAAGCATGCTTTCTTTTCTCAAACGCTTCGTGAAACTTTTCTCATTTTTTTTCAGCCCCAACATCCACGTAATGATAATAACATCACTTTTTATCCATCTCTCCATACGAGGGAATTGAACAAATGGAGGCTGCGCTATATTAAATGAACACATGGCTATACAAAACTTCTTTAGCTCTGAAAGGCAAAGACTTTGCTTTATTTTCATAACCACACAGCAATTTGATATTGATTTAATTTATAAATATACGAGACTGGGGCTTCTACTGAAGTTTAGGGACTTGAACACAGTGAGCCTTTGAAAATTTCAGCATAATCTGTAATATTATGTAACTTGTTTTACAGGGTTTGCAATGCCATCTATTGCTCCATGTGTTTATGTAATATCTGTTATCAAATAAAAGCATTACTTGGAAAAGGAAGGAGGTTTCTCTAGAGAACAGACGGAGGTCAGTTTGCAAGTTTAAAAACATTTCTCCAAGCACTGCACCTCTAGTTTTAATAGTTTTGTCACCTGTTTGAAAGTTAAAGCATCAGGACAGAGGTGCACAGACCCCTCTGGGTTTGCTTGATTTGTTTTTTGAGGTCGTTCTGAATATTGCGGGTCACTCTGGGATACAGTGGAAAGGGTTTGATAAAATTGGAGGGGAGGGAGAGGAAAAAGAGCAGGAAATACAGAGTATAGTGTGTGATCTTTCATCCTCTCACACCCTTTCCAGAACATCCATTTCCACTTCCGAGAGCCCAGAGTCACCCTCCTGCAGGGAATCGGCATCCCTCTCGGAAGGGTGTAGGGTACTCTGTCTCAGCTGATGTTTTGAGCTCTTTTATGCCGTGGCCTTTATGCTATGAATGCTTTCAAGGCTTTAGTCTGCTGTATGGATCTTTGAGACTTGCTGAATGGCTTTAATGTTTTGATAAGACACAAAGAGAGCATACAGAAGACATGACCGGACTGGGAGATGAGAGAAAGGAACCGGGTCATCTGATGAGTGGCTCTTTGAACAGAATATTTTTCAGGCCAGCCACTTCTTAATGACACTCTGCTATAATAAGAGCAGGTCTGTTGTGTGGCTTTGATTTAAAGATAGTTTTGGTTAAAAGAGTTGCAGCAATCGGTAGCCTTTCACTGCAAACTCCCTTTGTGTTCTCTGGGCTCCTCACTAAACGCAAGTTTTTCTAGAATTTCACTCGTGTTCCCCTATGATGGATTCTGTTGCTCAATTAAAAGCTTTACTTAGGAGAGCTACATGAATTTGACATTGAGTAAACTATGTAAAGGGCTTACCCAAGTCTTCCAATACTGGGAAGTCTTCTGCTGAAAACCAGCTCTTTTAGTTCATGGATTTCGGCTAAAGGCAAGTGCATATAACACATACTGAAGCTTTTACTAAAGCTTTACTGATGCTGTTAGTGGGCCTGTCACGATAACAACTTTTTGTTGTGCGATATATTGCCCCAGAAATAATTGTGATTAAGCGATATTATTGTCATTTTAAAGGGGTCATATGATGCTATTTTAAAGATCATTATTTTGTGTATTTGGTGAACTTTTATTCTTAATTTTTAAGAATATTTAGATCATGGAAAGTATCAAAATATTAGATACCTTAAAAAACCTGAATAAATAGTAGGGCTGCACGATAAATCGCATGCGATATTTAATGCGATTTTTTTTTTTGCGCAGCTCTTCAGTGA